TCTAAGTCTCCACAGAGCAACATACAGGTGAGCTGTTAGACTGTATGCTTGCTCCATTTGTATTCTCCATAGCCCAGACACCCATCATGGAGGATTGCTTAGCCCTCCAACCCACAGCAGATCCCAAATCCCAGAAAAGACTCCAATCCAGGGAAACCAGTGTCACAGGCCACATCACAAATAGACAACAAGTTAACACTGAACACACTACTAAAATGTAATACTTCCACTCCCCAAGAAGCCCTCAACCCCAACCTCATAGTCCTCCCCCTTTTATCCCACTGTCATTGATGCAGCAGCACACTTTCCGTACACTGACATTCAAGCATCTTTTCATTCCAGTGATGCTACCTACACAGGGTGATTTTTATACTGTGGTCTAACTCAACTATGTTTGTGCATGCTATAAGTATTAAATATGTATGAGCCTTACCCCATACTTCACCTTTTGTCCACCTCATAGAAATATAGAAGAGTGAGGGCAGAAAAATAGCAAATGGTCCATTGAGTCTGCCCCATTTTTATATAGACTATATAAATACACATGCTGATCTACTGGGATGTTTACACACAACCATCTCTAGGGTTTACAGAGAATGGTCCAAAAAAAGAAAATATCCAGTGAGTGGCAGTTGTGTCAATACAAATGCCTTGTTGATGTTAGAGGTCAGAGGAAAGTGGGCAAACTGGTTGATAAACAGGCAACAGTAACTCAAATAACCACTTGTTACAGCAAGGTATGCAGAATACCATCTCTGAATGCACAACACGTTGAACCTTGAAGCAGATGGGCTACAGTAGCAGAAGACCACACACTGTCAGCTAAGAACAGGAAACAGAGGTTACAGTTCACACAGGATCACCAAAATTGGACAATAGAAGATTGGAAAAACGTTGCCTGGTCTGATGAGTTTTGATTTCAGCTGTGACATTCAGATGGTAGGGTCAGAAGTTGGCGAAATGAACATGAAAGCATGGATCCATCCTGCCTTGTATCAACTGATCAGGGTGGTGGTGTTGTAATGGTGTGGAGAATATTTTCTTGGCACACTTTGGACTGCTTAGTACCAATTGAGCATTGTGTACATGCCACGGCCTACCTGAGTATTGTTTCCAACCACGCCCATCCCTTTATTACTACAGTGTACCCATCTTCTGATGGCTACTTCCAGTAGGATAATGCACCATGTCACAATGCTCAGATCATCTCAAACTGGCTTCTTGAACATGAAAATGAGTTCACTGTACTTCAATGGCCTCCACAGTCACCAGATCTCAATCCAGTACAGCACCTTTGGGATGTAGTGGAACAGGAAATTCGCATCATGGATGTGCAGCCAACAAATCTGCAGCAACTGTGTGATGCTATTATATCAATATGGAGAAAAATCTCTGAGGAATGTTTCCAACACCTTGTTGAATCTATGCCATGAAGAATGAAGGCAGTTCTGAAGACAGAAGAGGGTACTAGCAAGGTGTACCTAATAAAGTGGCCAGTGAGTATATATATACAGTTAGGTCCATATATATTTGGACACAGGCACAATTTTAGTTTTTTCAGGTATTTACCAAAACATATTCAAGCTATAGTTATAAAATGGATATGGGCTGAAAGTGCACACTCTCGAGTTTAATTTGAGGATATGTACATCCAAATTGGAGGAAGGGTTTAGGAATTACAGCTCTTAAGATTAGCCACCCCCCCCCCCCTTTTTCAAGGCACCAAATGTAATTGGACAATTGAATCAAAAGCTGTTTCATGGTGTGGGCTACTCCTTTGTTATTTCTTCATCAATTAAGCAGGTAAAAAGTCTGGAGTGGATTCTAAGTGTGGTATTTGCATTTGGAATCTATTGGTGTAAAACCTACATCATGCGTTCAAAAGAGCTGTCCATGAAAGTGAAACAGACCATTGTAAGGCTTTAAAAGTGAAACAAACCTATCAGAGAGACAGCAGCAACATTAGGAGTGGCCAAATCAACAGTTTGGTACATTTTGAGGAAACAAAAATACACTGGTAAGCTCAGCAACATAAAAAGGCAAAGGGACATCCATGGAAGACAACAGTGCTGGATGATCGCAGGATCGCAGGAAAATCCATTCACAACATCCAGACAAGTAAAGGATACTCTCCAGGAGGTGGGTGTATCATTGCAAAGTCTACAATCAAGAGACTTCATAAGAGCAAATACAGAGGGTTCACCACAAAGTGCAAACCATTCATAAGCCTGAAGAAAAGCCAGATTAGACTTTGCCAAAAAACATCTAAAAAAGCCAGACCTGTTCTGGAAAAGCATTCTTTGGACATATAAAACTAAGATTATTCTGTACCAGAATGACAGGAAGAAAAATTTGTAGAGAAGGCTTTTAACAGCTCATGATCCAAAGCACACAACGTCATCTGTAAAACATGGTGGAGGCAGTGTGATGGCATGGGCATGCGTGGCTTTCAGTGGGTCTTTGGTGTTTATTGATGATGTGACAGAAGACAGATGTAGCCAGATGAATTCTGCAGTGTTTACAGATATACTGTCCGCCCAGTTTCAGCCAAATCCAGGAAAGTTTCTTGGACGACGCTTCATAGTACAGATGGACAGTGATGCAAAACACTGCAGAAGCAGCCCAGGAGCTTTAGAAGGAAAAGAAGTGGAATATTCTGCAATGGCTGAGTCAATCACCTGATCTCAACCGAATTGAGCATGCATTTCACTTGCTGAAGGCAAAACTTAAGGCAGAAAGACCCACAAACAAAGGACAACTGAAGACAGCCTGGCAACACATCATAAAGGAGAAAACCCAGTCTTTGGTAATGTCCATGGGTTCCGGACTTCAGGCAGTCATTGCCAGTAAAGGATTCTCAACCAAATATTAAAAATGAACATTTTATTTATAATTATATTAATTTGTCCAATTACTTTTGGTCCCTTGAAAAAGGGGGGGATGGCTACTCTTAAGAGCTGTAATTCCTAAACCATTCCTCCAATTTGAATGTGCATACCCTCAAATTAAACCCGAGAGTGTGTGCTTTCAGCCCATATCCATTATATAACTATAGCTTGAATATGTTTTGGTAAATACCTGAAAAAACTAAAATTGTGCATGTGTCCAAATATATATGTATATAACTGTGTGTTACATATATATATATATATATATATATATATATATATACACATTTTTTTTTTTGTTTAATCCACCCCCTGTTGACTGACTCACTACCACTAGTGGAGGTCTATGCCAAGGCATCTAATACTCTTTCAGTAAAATAATACTTCTAAAGATCTATATAGGAGGACCAGGAGACCAGGATATCTTGCCTCTTACTAGTGATCCCTTTAGTGATGCATCCTAGCATTCTATTCACTTTTCCCAATGCCTGAGCACACTGTTCATTCCTGTAAAATAAGTAACTCCTAACTCTTTTTCCTCTGTAGTGCAGGCCAACACAGTACCCTGATATTGTACTCTATCAAGGGATTATTTTTCTCTAAATACATTCAGAAACCACAAACTGCAATTTCCATTACTTTGACCAAACTTCCAGCAATGCCAAATCATGTTCATGTTATACACCTCCTGGGATATCAATCCTATTTCTCACCTACTGCAGGAGTCATCAGCAAAAACACATACAGTACCTTGCCCACCTGCTGGCCTCAATTCTTAATTCTGCTGAGTAACCAAGATTCCCAGTAAAGCTGGTCATACACTATACAATTTTCTTATTCAATTTCCTTTAGACTTACCTTCAACTATGTAGTGGTAGGTCCTGTGTGATTCAATACTAATTTATAGTGTTTAGGTTTTTCCTCAATTCTAAAAGAAAAATGTACAAGAAATGTGTATAATGTATGGCTAACCTTATGTACATTTAGGCAAAGCTATGTGTACTTAACATGATCACTTCAAAATATCAGTCACCTTTGCAGTGCGTGTTACTGCACTGCGGTGCTGTCTCCACCTAACTCCTCTCACCAGCAAATGTACAACAGGTTGAAATGAAGCATGAATGGTCTCTTTTTTCTCTTAATGTAGAAAACCTCAGATAAATGTTAAATGAAAGACAAAGGGCTGCACAGCAAGTACAGAGGGTGGGTGAGGTGTAAAAATATAGAGTGCTGCATGCTGGATGCTAAGTTTAAATCATTAGAAAGTTGTATTGGTTAAGGTCAATGGTAATAGTGGAGTCTTCTTGTCATCAGAGCACAGTGACAAATGGATAAGTGTGTATCCTTTCCTCTCATGGCCACTTGTGTTCTCTCTTAGTGTGACTGCCCTCACATGCTTCCTGCTCTATCTCCTAAATAGGGAACGAAAACACAATTATCTATTACAGGTAATTATATACTGTAGCACTGTCAATTTACACAGCACTTTACATATTTATTACACACTCATATCAGTCCCGGCCCTCAAGGAGCTTACAATCTAAGGTCCCTAACTCACATTCACACTCACACTCATACTCTCATGGGGGATTTTTAACTACCTAGCAACTGACTGGAGTAATGGCACTGCAGGAACAGTTAAGGGCAAAAATGTATAAACCTGCTACACAACAAGTTTATGGTACAGTTCATAGAGGCCCCAACTAGGAATGATGGTCTGCTGGACCTGGTAATCTCAAACCATGCAGAGCTTATTACTAATGTCAATATAAAAGAACATCTGGGTAACAGTGACCATAACATGATTTCATTTATTGTTAGCTGTAAACAACAAGCACATGGGGGAAAAAACCCTCAATTTTAAGAGAGCTAATTTTCCAAGGCTAAGAGCCGCTCTCTAAGACTGAGACTGGGAGGGAATATTGACATCAATGGACACAACACAGAAATGGTAGTTCTTCAAAAAGACTGCATGTGAACCAGGGGCTGACTGACCATTTGGGAACTCGGACACTGCCCGAGGGCCCATGGTCAGTAGGGGGCCCCATGAGATGCCCCTGGTACCTTTCATAGGCTTTTTTGGGTGTGGTTTGAGTGTGGGTGAGGACTCAGGGGCCCCATGAGTTGTCAGTCCGCCCCTGATGTGAACGCACTGCAAAACATTTTTCCATGGGCAACAAGTTTAAAAGGCTAAAAATCAAACCTATGTGGCTTACGGCCAAAGTTAAAAAAGCTATAAATAATAAGAAAAGCAATTTATTAACTATAAAAATGAAGGAACGCTATCATCGTTTAAACATTACAAAGAATATAACAGAATGTGTAAAAAGGAAACCAAGGCTGCAAAAATTGAAAACGAATGACAGAAAAAATTGAGCTCTGTCATTTCAAAGCCATTGTTTCTCATTTTTAGGGACTCTTTAATGACTGGCATAGTACCACTGGATTAAGCAACGTATATAGAAAGTGCAGTGCTCGATAATAGAAACAATGGAGGAGCAATAAGTCTTTATCGGATCATTAATAAAAAATATATATATGCAAAAAAGTTAAAAAATAACAAAGGATAGTCCAGCAAATAAGTGCTTAGGGTGACTTGGATGTCCAGTATCTGTGTGATAGTGATAAAGTAATGCGCACTCACCGGACGCGCATAATAAATGCGCTTTATATATAAATCATCCAGATGTTGTCTGATGGTGGGTGGTCCTCCCTCTATTTGGTCTGAGGCAGATGATCCTCTTCCACTAGGGGTCCCCCTATGTGTTCATGATGGGTATTATCCCTCTGGTTGGTCTGGGTAGTAGTAATCCGTCCTTGGAGTGGATCTGTGGGCTAGAGTACTCCCCCAGGGGGTGACAAGGACACTCCCATGGTGTAGTAGGTTTAAAAGATTTTATTTAAGATGCATCAGGGTAAACAAACATTAAAATCGTTGCAGACAGTAGTCTGTTAGGTGACTGACCGACTGGTGTAGTAAGATGGCCGCCGGAGCTCCACGTTGCTCCGGCGGCATGACGTCACGGCGTGGTGTGGCTCCTCCTGACGCGTATCGTGCTCCAGCACGTCCTGATGCATCTTAAATAAAATCTTTTAAACCCACTACACTATGGGAGTGTCCTTGTCACCCCCTGGGGGAGTACTCTAGCCCACAGATCCACTCCAAGGATGGATTACTACTACCCAGACCAACCAGAGGGATAATACCCATCAGGAACACATAGGGGGACCCCTAGTGGAAGAGGATCATCTGCCTCAGACCAAATAGAGGGAGAACCACCCACCATCAGACGACATCTGGATGATTTATATATAAAAGCGCATTTATTATGCGCGTCCGGTCAGTGCGCATTGCTTTATCACTATCACACAGATACTGGACATCCAAGTCACCCTAAGCACTTATTTGCTGGACTATCCTTTGTTATTTTTTAAACTTTTTTGCATATATATATTTTTTATTAATGATCCGATAAGGACTTATTGCTCTTCCATTGTTTCTATTATCGAGCGCTGCACTTTCTATATACATTGCTTTCTCCTAGGGTCATTGGTACCTTCTTTGTGCATAGCAGCTTGTTGCTTTTATACTTAGGCGCTTGTACTACTCTCGGAGTACCACTGGATTGGCACAAGGCCAATGTTAGACCTGTTATTTTAACATCTATAGTTGGGAAGATACTGGAGAGTTTAATGAAAGATCACATAGATGAGTTTTTGCTGGAAAAAATATTTTAAGCAACAGACAGCATGGATTCATGAAAGACAGAAGTTGTCAAACAAATCTAATTACTTTTTATGTGAGCAAAATCTTGCACAGAGGGGTAGCTATGGATGTGGTATACTTGGATTTTGCAAAAGCATTTGACACAGTTCCCCACACATGGCTAATGTATAAGGTAAAGTCTACAGGTTTGGAAAAATCTGTATGTAAATGGATAGAAAACTGGCAAAAAGATCGTATTCAGAGAGTAGTGGTTAATGATTCATACTCTGCACGGTCTAGGGTCATCAGTGGTGTACCCCAAGGTTTAGTGTTGGGACCCTTACTTTTTAATATATGTATAAACGATATAGGGTCTGGGATTAAAAATATAATTTCAGTCTTTGCAGATGACGCCAAGCTGTCCAGTGGAATAACGTCCTTACTGGATGTCTCCAATTTACAAGCAGACCTCAATGTACTGTTTAATTGGGCAACTATGTGGCAAATGAGGTTTAATGTTGATAAACATAAGGTTATGCACTTGGGGGCTAGAGATATGCATGCATCATACATACTAGGAGGAGTACAACTGGGGGAACCAATGGTGGAGAAGGATCTGGGAGTTCTGGTAGATCACAAGCTTAATAATGGCATGCAATGCCAAGCTGCGGTTTCTAAAGTGAGCAAAATCCTTTCTTGCATTAAAAGAGGTATAAACTCCAGAGAGAGAGATATAATTTTACCCCTGTACAAATCATTAGTAAGACCTCATCTAGAATATGCATTTCAGTTTTGGGCACCAATTCACAAAAAGGACATTGGGGAGCTGGAGAAAGTACAGAGAAGGGCAACCAAACTGATAAGAGGCATGGAGGAGCTCAGCTATGAGGAAAGATTAGAGGAACTAAATGTATTCTCAATTCAGAAGAGGAGATTAAGGGGGATATTATCAACATGTATAAATACATCAGTGGTTCATATAGTGAACGTAGTGTAGAGTTATTCACCCTGAGGTCATCACAGTGGACAAGGGGACACTCTTCACGGCTGGAGGAAAAGAGATTAAATCTCCAAATACGGAAAGGTATCTTCACAGTAAGAGCTGTGAAAATGTGGAATAGACTCCCTCAAGAGTTGGATCTGGCCAGCTCGGTGGATTGCTTTAAAAAAGGCCTGGATTCTTTCCTAGATACACATAATATAACTGGATACTAACATGTATAAGTAAAGTTGATCCAGGGAATATCCAATTGCCTCTCAGGGGATCAGAAAGGATTTTTTCCCCTGCAGGAGCAAATTGGATCATGCTTTGCTGGGTTTTTTTGCCTTTCTCTGGATCAACTGTGGGTATAGGATTATAACTTTTTTTAAATTTTTTTTTATGGTTGAACTAGATGGACTTTTGTCTTTTTTCAGCCAGACTAACTATGCAACTATGGCCAATTTTCCTACCAGCATGTCTTTGGAGTGTGGGAGGAAACCAGAGTAAACCAATGTAGCGCCTTGGTTGGAATTTGAACCAACGACCCTAGTGCTGGTAGATGGAAAGGCTAACCACTTAGCCACTGTGCTGCCCAATTCACATTTTAATGAAGGAAGCCTTAACTCAGTTTGACTGAAAACACAATTAACCACTAAATGAAGCTTATGTTTTTATATTTGCAACTAAATTGCCTTAAAATGATGGCTGTACAAAAACTTAGTTGCAAATGTAAATAATATTAGCGTTAATATGCTATATTCTGACTTTTCATAAACGCACACAGTTGAATACAAAGTGCATTATAAAATGTCGGCATTATAATGTAGGCAGTAGTACATATTTGTGTACCGTGGCGTATGTTTATAAACATGCATGGTATTTAATATTTCTCATACTGCATACTTTATTTTTCCTTTACATGGCTTACATGCTTCTAATGGTAACTCTAAGTTCGATTAAACAGATAAACAGAAAGACTATACATTATACTATTCTTGGCTATATTTTTCTCCAGCAATTCTTACACTTCTGGAAAAATTCATAGCTGATTATTATGACTATTTTTCAACATCCTTTGGGATGCAGCAGTTTAATAACCATAATATATTATTTACAATCACCATTACTAGACTTCCACATTAGCAAGTCCTTATCGTCAGTTTTCTAGCTATTCATAACCTAAGAATGACCCTGAAAAAACAAAAAAATTGTTGTAATTTCCCTAATGCAACAAACTATATTTATATATTGTCTCTAAAGTCAGACTACTGTATTATTAAATGTTGACTAATTATCGGATCTGCTCAGAGCATTAGTCTATATCATACAATGTTTCCCTTGCTGGCAGGAAGTGGAAACTGTCAAATGTTTTGGCAGTACAACGATTTTTACTATTTTTTTCAGAGCTGATTTAATGTCAGGCAAAAATAAAATTCCACTATATAAGCAAGCCATGTTTTTAATATATATATGCAATTTCTCTATTGAACAACTTCAAGCTGTAGTAATCAGACAGGAAACTTCCTTATGAAGGTATAATATAGGTTTTTTAAAAATATTTTGAAGTATTAAAAGTGTGTTACAAACATAATCAGCAGTAATAATAGTGAGCGCTCTCCAGAATAGCAGCTGATACACTCAGATAACCACATAAAACCTCCGGTATATAATAGATAGAAATAAAGTGCAGCGCTAAGTATACGTAAAGTCACAATCTGATTTACTATACAATTAATGGCATGTATCATGCCAGTAAGCGTATCCTTCTTTATGGTGTTCCAAGCGAAAAAAAAAATTATTATGCGCTTACCAGAAGCGCATAGGTCATGCGCATTGATATATCCAAAATCAGGAGCGTCAAGGTAATGAGGTATGCATCTGGGGCATCCGTCTCCTAATGGGCAGCTCAGCAGTAACTGGGTGATGTATATTCCAGAGGCCTCCTTTACAGATCAGCAGGGTCAGCCACCTGATTACAGGATTTCCCCCTCTCTGGATGGTGAAGAGCTTTCCAGGGTCTGCGTGCTTAAAGGCTCCATAGAGGAGTCATACAAAAATGCCCATAGCGTAATATTTGCCAAAAAGTGATGAATTTATCAAATACACATATAATCAATAAAATAGGTACACTAACCAGTAGTAAAGAAGGCCACCGGACCAGCATATGGCTCTGGTGGCAAAATATCACAGCGTGTTGATTCCTGTGATATTTTTCCTTGTGTTACAAACATAAACTTAAAATGCAGGGCATACATGCACAAATACTGAGTGCATTGTGTGCTTCTTGTCTGGTAGTTTTATCAAACAAAAAAGTGAACAAGCACTTTGACGCCTGTCTAGACCTCTATTAGAAAAAATTCACATGAGAATGAATTTTCTGGGTTAAAAATGCTGAAAAAAGGAAAACAATCTGTTTTTCCTGCTTAATTTTAGCTCTTCATTGTATTTATGTACATTACTGCATGTACTATACATGTTTTGTGTGTTTACATGTTACCTGCAATAAATTTTGTTAGCCTTTAACTCAATTCCCATGTCCATGTGGTGTCAACCTAGGACCAGGCTATACAAGGGGCTCAGATCCCACTAACCAACT